GACCTTCATCAATCTACAGGCTCAAGTTTTAGTTCTTAGTAGGACACTCGATCGACATGAAAATGTGGAAGTCGTCCTCCTTGACATCAGCGTGATTTTTGAAATATTTAGTCAACAGCTGCATTAAGGGTCCCTTTGCTTTCGCGTAGACGGCCTGCTCGAACTATTATTTCAAATAACTGCCTCCCGAGAATTCTTTCTCGCCCCAAAATGTTTTCAACACGTCACTGAACACAGCTCTCGTGGTTTTTGCACACTTGCTATTTAATCGCATTTATAGTACTACTGCTCACAAGCGCTGTCTCCGTACCTTGTTTACTAGGTTCAGAGGTCTGTTAGATGTAAAACGTATAGTAAGACTTGACTATCCTATCATGACACACAGAGGAGACTACAGAGTCCTTAGTAAAAGCAAATATCATGTTGTGCTCACTGGGATGAGTTTACTTGTTCACTGACGTTTCGGACAGCTGGATCGGCTGTCCTTTGTCAAAGGGTAAACTGACTTTATTGATCAGCGATTTGAATTTGTGGCTGTACGTGTCGATTTATATGATACTTACTTATGAGACCCGATTAGTATGGAAGTAGGTGCCCATCGACCTCGGGCGAAATTACACTGCCGTGTGATGCAACCTAAAGACAGACTGTCCCCCTACGGAAACCTCCGCAGTTGTCTACAAGATAGGTTGCAACGATGGGGACCGCAATTATGTTGGAGAAACCGGATGGAAATCGCAGACCCACTTACACGAACACAAGCGGACGGCTCGGAAACTAGACCCTATCTCGTAGCTTGCAACAAATATCGGAGAGATAAGCCACAACTGTGATATTCAAGGAACGACCATCGTAGGCCGAGGAACCTCAAAAGTGGAAAGACTGACGTTTGAAGCATGGTACTCAGATCTGGACAACAGGCCTCCGGACCTTCCCGTGGCCTATAACGCCCTACGCCATTAAGTGAGTAAAGGACAGGACAATGTCAAACCGTACTTAGTAGGAAGAATGAGGTACACGCGCTTATCTCCTTTTGTCAAATTGATTACATTCAGTGTCTCTGTGGGCACACCT